ATAAATAGGTTCTGACTCGCTACAGTTTACAGAGAAATAAATTAAAATGTGTGAACTGTAGCTACTCTCCACTGTCTGTTTCCATCTTCCAGATGGTTCTCTAGGCCTGCCACTCCCCAGCGTTTGAAACTGTGACCCCAAGTCTGTAGCCTTGTATTCATGTTGTTTTCATGGCAGAGCAAAAGCTATAGGCAGCTGTCCTTTTGCCTCCCCGCTACTGTGACCCTCGTACCATGTTCACCTCATGTGCTGCTGTATTGGCACATGCACGCCTGGGCCTTGCACACGGCGTTGCGTCCTTCCTGATGGCACACTTGCTTTCTGGGTGGCACATCCCTTTGTTTTGTTAAAAGCAAAATGAAGCTAGAACCCAGCAAAGCTTCTTGTTACAACCAATCATTTTTAATGTCATGATTTAAGTATTCTTTTCAAATTCTGTAGAATCAGAGGGAAAAGCCTTGAGAAGTCATAAATGCAGTGTCTGAATAGAACTCTGTCCACCTACCTCAGAATGATGTTAGCCTTCTGACTGCCAAAGTCACCTAGGATAGTCTCTCTTTGCTGCTAATAGGCCCCAGTACATGACATTCTCTTGGTCTTTCGATCATTATTCTCTACCTGCAATTAGCCAATCCTGGGCTTAGAAGCATATACTAAGCTGATCTGGATCCCTCACTATGCATTTCACGTAGACACAACCTCATCTGTCAAGACTGCAAATCATCTGTGCAGACGCTAAACAAGGGCTGTCATCCTGGACCACCCACTAACTCACATCTTTCAGACATCTGGTACAGTTCAGCCAGTCCTGGCCCACAGCCTCCCAGACCTGAAACCTTCAAGCTCCACCCAGATGCTTTCTACTATCCATATTCCATGAGCACACCTGACCCCCACCCTCTTCTTCTTACCTCCACTTTCCCCTCTTCTTCCTTCTGGGTTCTTTATGATGAACTTGCCACGTCCATATAGAACTCCATCATCATGGGGATGTCCATATCCTCAGCAATGGCACAGCCTGGAGAATTCATTCTCTTTTGGTATTCAGCCCTTCTCAATCAGACATGGACACCAGGGTTGTTTCCAGACTTCTTGATAATTAGAAAACCATGACCCTTAGCACAAGTGAAAAGACAAGGATCCTCTAAGACCAGGGCCAGTACACCAGACCCACATCCATTCTCACATACAGAGCTACTTCTCCAGAGGGCTGAAGCCTTGGGAAGCAATTATGAACACACTGCCTTCATCTTGAGTTCCATTCCCACCAGCAGAGTTGAAATGCAAGGATTTTAATTTTTAGACTGTAGTAAGTTGAAAGTGTCAGCACATCTGAATGCAGCCCAGCTCTGAGCATGCCCTTTGACTGGCCTCACAGAAACAAAGCTTGAAATCCCAAGCATTCGGCTGGCTGACCTTGGTGCTTCTAAGTACCAAGCCGTGATTATGTTGTTCAGAATCTTGCTCGAATTTGGGGGCAAAGAGGGGAGGGGCAAGAAGAATCAGGCTCTTAAATAAGTTGAGTCATTTCCCGAGAGAAAAACAGCCAAGATTACTGGCAAACGAGGAGGCTATTTCGGCTGCAAAACGTAAGGAATTAAATGTTCCCAGGAGTGAGAACTTTCAGATATGTAGCCAATAAATAACAAATACTAGATGACGTACTAAATATAACAACCGTGTCTTTGGTGACGCAGGTTGATGTAAATGTCATCTTTGCCTGGGAAAAGACTGGGAATGATCAGATGGAATTTCCCCTCGGAATGTAAGAGCTAGAACCTGTGTTTATTTGATCATCAAAGTGACAGCTCCTTTATGAAGTCATAATAGACACATTAATAAGCCTGTTAGAGTTGAGTATTTCTACAAACAGCTGCTTTTCTTCATAGGTAATTTAGAAAACGTTAAATGAAGAATGTTTGCTGTCAGGTGAGACACCTTGAGGATTTCCTGATCACTTTGAGATCTTAATAATTCCAGGCAAATAACATGTGTGGTGAACCATGCTTAAGTCTTGCATTCTTCTTTTCTATTGTCACTTGTATTCAAGTCTCATCTAAAGAAAATGCACATAGAAATGGGTAGAGAGCAGCTAATCTAGATATCGAAGGCATCATATTTAGAACCTGGATCATTCATCACCAGCTCGTTGGCAATAGATGCTAGTGGATTAGTGGCATACTTTGAATGAATTATTGACAGCAAGATTCTTGATCACAATAATAGCACTGTTATTGTTCCCAACAGAAATATAGTTACTTGTACTGGAACAGCATGTGTGACACTGTATATAAAGCATTGTGGTTGTTCTATTTTGCAAATACCTCTTGACTTGTCTCTAGTAACAGTACCTATCTCTATTATGGAGTTGTGTTAGGATGTTGGGATGGCTAAACTATCCAAGTCTTAGGGCTAATAACATTTTAGGGCAGTGTCTGGCACATAGTGAATGCGAGAATGTTGAGACTTTTCTAATTCTGACTCTAGAGATCATTACCTTCTTTTAGACTGTGTCTTCTACTGACCCTGGTAGATTATTAACTGTCTCACAGAGTCTTTTCCTGCTTCACATTGAGAGCCAGCTTCTTTGGACAGCTTGCATAATGAAATGACTTTTCCTAAGGATATATTTGCTCTAAGTTCACCCATGTTTAGTTGATGAGAAAAAAAAAAAAAACAACCTAGGTTTTTACTCTAATTTTTACTCTAATCAAGCAAATGTTACCACCCACTCACTATTCTCTATGCTTTCTGTCAGACCCATTTCCTACAAATAAAAACACTCTTGATTCTCAGTGCTTTTTCTCCCAGTATGCATCATCTTTTAAATGGTAGCAAATATTATCACCATCTGTACAGCTGCCCAAACCAGAAATGGAAATCTCATCTTGCCCTCTTCTCCCTTTTCCCACAACTTTCCCCACCCAAACCTTTACACTCATCCCAGCCACCGCTGCCTCTTTCTGGCACAAATAGGGTGGCTTTCTTCATAGTTTCTCTCCTTTCCACTTACCCTGTATTCGGATCTAGTACTTGACTCAGTAGTCAAAGTAGAAGTTTTGAAACAAAAATTAGATCATTCCTTATCCTAAATTAAGTCTCCTCAGAGATTTCCCATCATGTGCCAAATATAACTCGTTTTCTGACCTACAAGCTCGGCTGGTGTAGCCCTGTGGAAGACTGCAGGGAGCCCTCTTCCAATCACTGCAGCTTATTTGTTTCTTAGACGTCAGCTCATGAATATTCATACACAGTACTTATATTTGTCATTACTTGAGCAACATTAAATTCCATTACTTGTCTATAAGCTCCCTGAGGTCAAGGACTATGTCAATTCTGTTATCACTGTATCTCCCGCATGTCCCATAATTTCTACCACATGGCATGTACGCAATAGTTGTTTTTGTTCATTAAGCAAATGAATTTATCCCAAATTGTAATTATGACCTCATCTTTTCTTATTGAAGTAACATTTTAAAAATTATGAACTGGTGACTTACAATAGGCATTATCTTTGTGCAAATCTTTACCCATTCTCAGAGACCGAAGTTCTAAGATCCTCGTCACAAGAAGCCTTTGAAAATGATCCTCAGTACTCTACATGTACCTAAACTCTGTAGGTTGTCATAGGTTTTGTTTGGATACAGACCTTCCAACTAGTCTCGCTCCTTCCAAATTGTAAAACATTACGATTTCCAAAATAGCTACTCCAAATCATATATATTCATGAATACTTCACATCTTAAAATGAAAAGTTAAAGCCAAATGTGTTAATATACATATTTTAAATTTCTCTACCAGCTGCAGTTGAAATTTTTTATAGTGATTTGTTTTAAACAGAAAAACATGTCTGGCACATTTATGAATGATGTAACTATGAAGATGTCTGGTAATAATGACAAAATTCATATTAGGCTCCTTGTTTTACATGGAACTGTTTGTCTAATAGGCATCAAAGGGCACTTTGGTAATTTAAGACAAAAAAATAACAAAGTTATTGGGAGGAATAAGAAATGTGAAGTCGAGAGAAATGTAATGTGAAATCTGTTTTCATTGAGACTTTACCTTTTATTCTTCATTCTTAAATTTACTCTCCTCTAGAAAGCAAGGCTATTATAGTAGGAAATAAAATGTCTTTAAAGATCTGAGCCATTAGTTTCGGATGGCGATAGTAAGGACTCTGTAATTGCTAATGAGGCCTTGGATGTTGAATGTCTCAGTGCATCCATTGGGGCCAGCCTCTTGCCTGTTCTACAAGAAGCTGTCACATCAAATTCTTGTCCAGACTCCATGGGCACTTTGATTCCTAAACCTTTCTGAGAAACCTAATCTGAAATCAAAGTCAAGTTTCTTAGATGTGGTCAGACAAGGTCACATTTAAAACAGTCCAGTGAACTCACAGATCAAAGTTGAAAGGTAATGCCTCCCTCCTGAAGTTGGCACGGACTTACCCACCAGCTAACCTTTCAGGTTTTTTTTTTCTTGCCTTTTTCACCTCTTTCCAATGGGCTGGGGAAATGAGAGCTTTTTCCCTTAAAGAAATAGCTTGAGGGTTTTCTTAAATATCGTCTTTAAAAAAATTGAACATGGCCATGTTGGCAATGCACTTCATACCAATGAGTGAATCAGGAGACATTTTACTGAAGGTGTGTTTTACTGTTCTGTTGTGGGACTTCCCTCAGTAAAAAAGCCATAATAATTTCAGGATCATGAGGTGGCTTTTAGGTTAAATTGTCATGATCTTCTCATGCTGCTGTAGCCACTAACATACCACACAGGGCTGCTGCTATAATGCATGGGCTTTTTTTTTTTTTTTTTTTTGCCACCTTTCTTTCCTGTAAGGCTTTGAGTTACTCTCCAGAATGGCTCTGGAAAGAAGCAGGTAATGGTAACTCTCATTAGACGTGATCTTATCATCACATTACACTTTTTGTGTTTTTTTAATCAAAGTCACTATGATTAAAAAACATCAACAACCTTGCCGTTGCTTTATATTGCAGTGTTCTGTCTCTTGTGGTCGAGGGCATAAACAACGCAATGTTTACTGCTTGGCCAAAGATGGAAGCCATTTAGAGAGTGATTACTGTAAGCACCTTACTAAGCCACATGGGCACAGAAGGTGCCGAGGAGGACGCTGCCCCAGATGGAAGGCTGGCGCATGGAGTCAGGTGAGCAATGCTTCTCTACCCAAACGCTCCCTTCTGTTCCGCCCCATGCCTGACCCCAGCACAGTCAGTCACCTGTGTTTCTCTGCGTTGTGTTCCTTTTACAAACTAGGAGGACTCTTCACCTGGGCAGGCTGGGTGGCCTTGGACAAGCGACTTCAGTCAACAGAGCTTGTACCTTAAGTGGCACAGTTGTGAGGCTGAATCTTAGACGGTGATAGACACCAGATATTAAACACAAAGTAGCCCTTCAGTATCTGGCTGGTGGCCTTGTGTTATCATTCACCACTTAGAAAAGCCCAGCTGAGACTGCACTGAGGTGAGCTCTCGTCACCTGCCAGGAACTGAGGCTCAGTTTACCTTGGAGATTCTCAAAGAGAGCACTTCCTTATCACTGTCCTGGCATACCTAAGAGAAACAACCAGGAGGGTGTAGTTTGAATTACTGTTTCAGAGGATATCCGTCTATCATGGCAGGGAATGCTTGGCCCCTGGCACAGCACAGCCTGTGAGCCAGCGTTTGGGGGCACAGCTGTTCACATCTTGGCAAACCAGGAAGCAGAGAGACAGAGCTAAAAGTGGGACCAATCTGTAACCCCCAAAGGCAACTTCCAATGACCTCTCTTTCCAGTAGTTACGCCTCCCACCCCAAAGGTTCCACAGCCTCACAAAACAGCACCACCATTTGTGAACTAAGATGAACCTGGGGGACAGTTCACCTTCAAACCATAGCAGTTGTCAATATAAAATATTCTCTCTGCCTGTTTGCTTCTTTACAACTGAGATTGGGGACATGAAGGGAGAGTGTTCTATTATTTTGTAGCTGTGCAACATTGAGCTTTTTCTTTGACCTTCCTGAGCCTATTTCATGGGGTTCTTAGGAGGATTTTAGCTCTGTCTCTCTGCCTCCTGACCTACCAATGATCTGCGCAATGAACACCAAGTGCTTTGCTGGGGGTGGGGGGGGGGCTGAGGGCTGAATAAAGTAACTGGCTCTCCAGAGTGATATTTTGTTAGGATGAGAGTAATGTATGTATGCTCTAGATGGGGAAGAGACGAGGAACCCAGGACACCAGTCACAACTTCTTGTTGCAGCTGCAGAAGCAACTTTAAAAGCTGGGCAAATTAAAGTCACTTGCACCTAATCCTTAGAGTAGGTCTCACAACCCCACTGCTTGTATGTTTTCTCATCGTGGTTTAAGGTACTTGCTTGAAAGTAACAAGGTTCCATTTCTTTGAAAACATTCTATGCTTAATGCTGAGCCTTCTCTCTGCTGATTGGATTCAGCAGGAGCTTTGCAGTCTCCTTCTCCGATGCTGTGGTGACTCATGTCAATGACTCCTAAGGATCCGTAAAAACTAGGCTCAAGGTGGGTGGCCTTGGGAAGAATTCTTCCAGCTTTAGATGCAGCCATATTAACACCAGAAGAGCTGAGGATTTTCCATTTTAATATTCTAGTGGAAAATTCCTCTAGAAATCTGAATGCTGCTCAAGTATCCTTCACTGACGTCATTGTTCTCTATACCCATGTTCCACTTAACAGAAGAGCACAGTACAGTGTATCATTCCCCAGCATGGTAGCTTTGTCCCGCTCAAGGCTTGTGTTGTAAAGAAACATCTGGGGTTTGCTTGTTGGCTTTAATTTGGCAATCAAAGAATCTGTGTTCTGTCCTCCTCTGGCTTCTGTTGGGGATCATTTTCAAGGCAGTATGTCATACTTGTCATCCTCCTTAATGGTTTCTAAGTGGCCATTATCATCTTTTAACTTCCAGCCCTTTTGTTTTTGGAGCTCTTCAGTTCATGCAAAGCCTACAGCTAACGTTATTTAAGATGTCACACTAATTAGGTTGTCCTCTTGTAGACTTTCATGCTCTGTTACTCTTCATTCTGCTCCGTGCCCTTTTCTTATCTACTTATCTAATGCATTTCCCCCCAGAATATTAAGAGCATGTAAACACCGTACGTCCTAAAGGCCAATTTATTCGCCAAAGAGATGCATAAAAGAATCTTTCGCTCCTTGTTAGTAAACACAGGCTGAGTTTTACTACAATATCCAGGAGGAGCCTAAAATTGCTTATACAGCTAGGATGGTTAGGTCTGAAGCCCTTTCTGCTTGTTTATTCATTTGTTTGTTTTGCAAATATAGACAGTAGTATTATCAAAATGCCTCCCTAGGAAAAAAACACACCTGTTCAAGACAATCACTCAGAAATGATTTGTAGGGGTACAATTATAAAAGGAGGAAAGACCTGAACATCACTGGGCCACTGGCCGATGGAGAAAGATGGTCTGCATGGTGAAGGATTATTGGTGCACTAATTATCTGGTGGTAAACAAGAATATTCCTAAGGCAATGATATTAAGCAAATGTAATGAGCTCCCACTTGCTACAATATTTAAATTTTATATGTGGCCTTTCTATTTTCTGCTAGTAGCTATGCTCCAGTCATCTTGTCTTCAAGGTATGAAGAATAATTAGTACAGTTTTTCATCATGTCAAATGTCTGATGGTAAGACACATTGAATGTTGGCACAGGACTCTACATACTTTAATAATCCTTTCCAAAATGGAGTGTTTTGAGATGTAAAGTGGATGTTTCATTTCTGCATCCTTTGAAATCTTGAAGCTGTAAAGGAACTTCACTTTAAAAAAAAATCCTCACTAAAATCTTAAAGGATTTCTTTTTCACTCAAACGTTCATGTCCAATTTGTTTGGATGATTTTGATCAAGAGCTAAGGGATGCTGATGCAATTTTAAGACAAAAATCACCATTGGGTTCTGGATTCAGCCTGATGCTGTGAAGGCTCAATGTTCTCCTGGGGCCAAAGCCTTCCAGAGTACAGTTTGCTAGGATTATGCCGATCCTCTAGGAAGCCCTCTCCCACCCCTAAAATGATGGGGGAGAACACACTGGGTGGAAAGTTACACTTCTTTATTCATCAGTCTGAGTTCTCTTCATCAGTTCATTCATCATCACTCCTGAGTCACTGGACTTTTTCTCAGTTTAACACCTTTGGGGTCAGACTGGGCCTTACACACCATGGGATGTCTTAATGTACTCCCTTACCGACATAATATGGAACAGAATGCCATAAAGCCCTGGTGCCTTGGATTCATAAGAATTCATTTTTAAGTGAACTCTGTTGCAAATGTAGAAATGAAACTGGCAGATTGCCCTTTGAATCACCTGCCGTTCTTGGTGTTGACTTTTCCTGTAGTGAGAAGGGAAGCAAGCAGATTATGGTATTTGCTGCAGGAGGCTCTTCCCGTGTCTTCTGGTAAATATGCAGCTCCTGCCCTTTGAGAAATTAAGGAAGTGATCATGTGAGTGGTGATGATAAACAGCGTTGTTTTGATACTTTCTGGTCTCTTGGTTATTTGGGGTTTTATTGAGCCCAAATCATGAGCCTTGATGGTGCATCACTGTTTGCATAGAAGCTTCTCATCCCAGCTTTTGCTGCTATAGTCTAAAACATTGCCTCATGGCAGCACTGTGTTGTAAAACTAGGATCCCAGTTCTAATCCACAGTGGCACTGACACATTGCCTTGCTAAATTTGATTTTGATTCAAGTTTTTGTTTGTTTGTTTGTTTGTTTGTTTGTTTTTCCTTGAACTGAGGTAATTGTCTCTGGTCTTCACTTTACTTATTTATGGAATATCTACTGGAAAGGCTTATTCGGAAATAAAAATTATTCTATAGAAGATCCTTAGCACACTGCTTATGACTCAACAAGAGGTAATCTTGTACCACATGAGACAATTAGCAATGTCTGGAGGAAAAGGGAGAATGCTTCCAAGTGTCTACAGTGCTCAGAGCATCCCTGCAACCTAGAAGCACTTTACTGAGACCCTTATATAGAATCCAGCATATGGGATGCACTCAGTGAAGGTTATTATTTATAGAAGTTGATTTGTACACCCGTTTTCAAGTTAGTTCCTGCTTTGAAATGATGGTACCACTGTAATACTAAAAGAAATTGTGGGGGGGTGGGAAAAAATCCCTTCTGGTCTTTCAGGTCTATGTTGATTCCCTAAACATGAGGAATTTCACAGATTTGTTTGTTTGTTTTGTTTTGTTAAATCTATATTAGTGTCAAGTTCCGCTCAAGCCAGTGAGTTCTGCAGTCTGGCATTGCACAGCAGGGGACTAAGGAGATGAAGCCTGGCTCCCAGATCAGCAACTCGCCATGAAAAACATCTCCTTTCACACCCTTTCAAACAGACTGGCCTGTCAAAATAATGGGAGGGGCACGTTAATAAGGGCTGTGCAGATGGCCTCTGCCTTGGAACTAAAAAGTTCACTGAGCATAACTAGATCCAGGATCGTGCTGGGGACATTCTGATGCTGGTTTTCTTTCTCAGGGATTCTGCATGAATCTCTCAGAATTTATCAAGAAAGCTGGCTGTCTCTGCACATAAATGTTGTCGTCTGTGAACCAGTGCAGAAGAATGAAACGCAGTTGCGGGAGATCTCTTTCTGCACAGATATGATACATTGTCCAGACAGGCAGGGTTTGCACTTTACTCCTCACTGAAGGCATGGTGATAGTCTTTAATTAATAAAAGTATCGTTTCAAAGTTGCCTTCAATATTATGACAACCAGAAGCCAGAACAACATATTATGCGATAAAAATTTCCTGCATCTTCATTTGTCTTATGCAGAATTATGAAACATTGTAAGAAGTGACTGTTAAAACCGTAGATACTTATGACTCTTAGTACCTTACCTTCACTCCACTTTAGGTACTTCTTTTTAGTAATGATAGCATTGAAAGGAGGTTTGGGGGCCTGGGGAAATAGCTCAGCAGGAAAGCGCATGCTCTGCCAGCATAAGGATGGAGTTTAGATCCCTGGCACCCGGGTCAAAGTCTGACCATTGTAGTCCCATTGCTAGGGAGGCAGAACCTGGGAGATCTCTGGTAGTTGTTGACCAGCCAGTGTAAGCTGTGAGCACTGTTCAGTGAAAGACTCTTCCTCAAAAAAAAAAAAAAAAAATAGAGTGGAGAACTTTGGGAGAAGATACCCCACACTGACTACTGGCCACCATACACATGCCTTCATACAACAAAGGAATTCCATTTACTCAACAGTCTAATGAGGACTAGACGCTCTAAAGGTCTTTCCCATGTTTCTTTGTTGTGAAAACATTATGCGATTTTTCAATTTATATCAGCTTTGTATCAAATTCCAGTGTGTTTACACCATTATTCTCTTTATTTCCGATGCACATTGTTCTAGAAGTATATTCTTGGATTTAAGAGTTCAGATTCAACTATCCAAAACTCTTTGGTTGTTGTTGACGACATTTGAATGTTTCTGTCCTTTGCTGGGTACCTCCCTCCCATTCTTCTCAGTATTACCAGTGTAGAACGTTACTCACGTGGACCCTGTGAGCATTAAGTGGCTGTTGTCTGGAGACAAAGCCATCCGTAGCATTTAAGAGTCCTCGCCTTCTTCCAGAACATAATGACTTTAAAGTCTGCTTTCTTGTGGGTCACAAACTCATTCAATTCAATTAATCCAATTAAACCCAAACAATAGCAGCAACGTTGAGATGAAGCATTGTCTTTGGTTCACTTTGATGTGAGCTATGAGCCTCTTCCCTAGCATAGATTTTTCTGAAACAATGGGATTTCCCAAGCTGCCTTCTCAAAAGGAGTTTAAGCTGCAGAAGCACCCACTTGGGTGTACATCTTGACAAAATTTCCATCATTTGCAGAGCACCTTGATTTTCCTACAAGTTAATCAGACAAGCGTGCAATCGTAGCATGAAGAGCCTGGTTCTGTTCTAAGGAAAGACTTCCTCTTGGCTACATGGCATGAATGTCTGATAGCTTTGTTTTCTCAACACCAGGCAAATTAATAGAGACTGGGTTAACACCACCCCCCACCCCCACCCCCATCCCCCACCGCCGCCAAAATTGCTAATAACCTTTAATAACTAAGTGCGGTATTATGCAGTTCTTTCTAATCAAAAGTTGCCTTTGGTTTCTGGCTGCCAAAACCTTAATAAAGACAATAATTCTTGGCCTGCCCATAAGTGAGATTATGCAACCAGCAATGAGGAAACCATTAAAAAATTAATTTAAGGGAAAGTTAATTGGTGTTTTGCAACTTGGTCAACAAAATGTTTCATAGTGATTAATGGGATTTTTCAAGGACTGAAAACATTAAGCCTGAGGAAATTATTTTTCCTTATTAGCTTTTATTCTTCATCTATTCATTTGAGATTATAAGTAGGCAGAGATACTTAAGTGAATTCCACGATTTAAACAAACAAACAACAAGCGAAGAAATGTTCCGTCTCCAGAAATAGAAACGAGAAAATAAACGGGCTAGAGAAAGTCATACTTGTATGGCCTTAATTAATCATCAACGGTTGGTTCTCTGTGGCTTGGACTATAGAAGCATATTTCCCAGTTTTCACAAGCCATACGCCTTCTAGGATGGAAGTCATGCGCAGTTTTTAGTTAGTTAGTTTGTTTGTTTCAATGTGGTAGCATTACTTCTGGGTTGTGCCATTTCCCCATAATCTCTCCACCCTCCATCATCCACGGAGAGCTTTGGTTCATCCCCACCGTGGCTCCTGCTCCCTCTCCAGCCTTGGCAGTGAGTTTTCCAGCTTTTAGACATTGCCTTGGTGTCCCCCTCCTTGGAAATGAGAAAGCATTTTGACTGCTGTGAAAATCATTGGATTAAGAAAGCATTGCCCTCCCCTGTGACCCACCCCTTCCCGCCCTCCAGAACGAGCCCAAGTGCCTACTTACATCCTGTGTCTTCTCAGTGCTCTGTGTCCTGTGGCCAAGGCGTGCAGCAGAGGCATGTGGGCTGTCAGATCGGGACACACAAAACAGCCAGAGAGAGTGAGTGCAGCCCATACACCAGACCAGAGTCGGAGCGTGTCTGCCAAGCCTCACCATGTCCTCTCTACACTTGGAGGGCAGAGCAATGGCAAGAAGTAAGTAGAGCCATGAAGTAAGTGCACACCTGCCTGCGGGTCGCTCCACCCCCTTGTCAGCATCATATCCGCACCCTATGGAGCCAGCAAAGCTGTGGAGCACAGTGGCCTTGCTGGCTCCTACCCAAAAAGTTTGCTGTCAGGCTCTAGGCAATGCCTGTGTGTGTCTCCCCATCTCCGTGAATGTTCCAGAGCTGTCTTCGCTGAAAGGGTGTGTGCTGGAGGCGGGGGTGGAGGGGGGAGAGCTTTAGCGTGCCTTTGGCCAACAGCATACACACAGAGACAGCTTTCACAGGTGGGGAGATGGGAGGAAGAGTTTAATATGTCAGTCTTGATTCTGTTGTTCTGTGTTAATTTAAATAGCCATAAACTGCAAGTCATACTTGAGGTAAAACCTGGTCTTTATTTTTCCTCTTTCTGTGGTATTGGCTGTCAGGGAGGGAAGAGGAGTGCTCATGTGAAACACTCATTAATTAATGTAGAATTTCCAACTGTTTCAACAGTGGATGGAGTTTGAAGAACCGTTGAGTTAATGCAGAAATAGGCCAGACTTATTTCTCCTCCATCCCACAAGTTAATGCTTGACTAAAGCAGACGCTTAAGTGTCCATGATGGAAAGTCTAGTTGCTGGGGGAGTGGGGTGGGGTGGGGTGAAGAGGTGGTTTAAGACATTAGAAGGAGGTAACCCCAGTTTCCGGAACAGAATGCTAGATTGTAGAAAGAGGGGGACAGGATTGGGAAGTAAAGTCAGACCTGCTGACATTGGAATGAAATAAAATATGCATACTGCCTCAGCGGGCAGTGAGGAGTGGCCTGTGCTGAGAGTGGGTGGCTCTCAACTCAGTGTGGTTTGGAGGTCACTGGTCTGCACTCTGTACTGTGCTGGGAGCATGCTGTCCATCACCTCACTTTATCTTCTGAACACTAAACGAGGTGAGAATTATTATCCTCCCTTTTTTTTCAGATGGTAAAACTAAGTTTCAGACAGACTTTGTCACATGTCCAAGTGTCCCGCATTTAGCAGCTGGAGGAAGCCACACATGATGGATGCTATTTGTTCTCCTCAGTCTTTATCGTTTTCCAACTGTGTTCTGCACCCCTGGGATCAGTTTCCCAGCCCTGCCCTTGACCATGATGAATCCATTCCTTACTACAATGATTCTTTTCTTTAGGAATTCCTCCTTCTCCATCTGATTAGTCCATGTTGCTCATTTTCCTTCTAGACTCTTCTTTGCTTCTGTCAGATAGTATCAGGGAGAATACCTAAGGCAGCTAAATTTCAGATTACTTGACCTGGAGTCAGATACGTTATCTGTCGGGAACTTGGATGCTTAGAATAATATCGGTGTGGTCCCTATCTCAGCTCTGCCATCAATAGCCACATGACTCAGAGCAAGAATTCTTACGTCTCTGAGCCTTGGTTTGTCTCCTGTAGAATGGGAACTGTAGTGACTTTGTGGAGTCGTTTTGAGGAAGTCGGAAAGGTCACTCATCTGTCTTCAGTCCCAGTCCTGCGACTGGCAGGTGTCAGGTAGAGACACTCCCCTCCCTGATTCACAGAAACTTGCCTCTGTCTTTGGAATTCTTACCTCAGACCTATCCCTGACCATTTTCTCCACCTCACTCTTCAGGCCAAACTCAACTCTGTGTCCCTGTTCCAAAGATCAGCAAGTGAGAAAGGGTTCACAGATGAGCCAAAACTAACTGCTTACAATGCAGCCAGCGATCCAGAATTTGAGAGCCAATCTTGAGAGTGTAAACTCCATTCCCAATTCTTTCTGAATCCCTTAGGGTAGAAAACCACACAAGAAACACGTCCAGAAGCTTCTGTCTTTGCACATGCCTTTTGAAATCCTTCCTCAAATATTGCTATCAAGCTCTGTATAAAAAGACTTAACAGTGATAGTGCACGCCTTTAATCCCAGCACTCAGGAGGCAGAGGCAGGTGGATCTCTATGAGTTCCAGGCCCACACCTGCCTTACATAGTCAGTTCTAGGCCAGCTGAGGATATATAATGAGACCCTGTCTTGAAGGAAGAGGAAAAGGGGGAGAGGGAGGAGGAGGAGGAAGAAGAAGAAGAGGAAGACAAAGACAAAGACAAGGACTTGAGGAGATGGCAGAGGTTAACCATAGTCACAGAGTGAACGGGCTCTGTAAGTGATAAGAAACCAGGTTCAAGTACTTACCCTTCCTCTACTGTGCTTTCTCATACTCCCAGAGGAGAGTCTTAAGAGGCACCAAGTGGTGAGGGTGGCTGAAAACCCATGAGTGGCACTGAGTGGGAAAGTAAAGTTCAAGGTAGCAGAGGTGAGACAGGCCCCATCAAACCCTTTGTGTTTCCCCGCTCGCAAGGCACAGTGGGAGCCTACCCGAGATGTCCACACAGCATCCAGGCTTAGAGGGAAGGTTGAAAACCACTAGGCAGCGGTCTTAAATGACCACAGCAGGACCGTTACAGCCTCAGTCTCGCTCACCTGCGGCAGGACTACTTTCAAGACCAAAGACGTTCTCATTAAACAGTAAGTTGGTGCCTAGTGAACAACGCAGCTCTTCCCCAGCCTCTCCCACATCTCAGCTCTCTCCTTCTGTCTAGCTCTGGTGTCTTCTCACAATCTCTCACTCAGCTGCCATTTGACCCCATCTTGTCCCCGTGTGGGCTTATGTTCTAGTAACATGTGACCTGAGGTTGGTGACATACCACAGAACAGACTCGCAGCCAACCAAATGGGACACACCCGAGCTTCATCTACTGGAAATCTCTTTCTTTCCTAGCAGGTCTTGGCAATACTTCTTGTCCTGTTTGCCTTTCGTGTATGTATCCCATCCACCTTTGGCTCCTCCCTTGTACAGTATTAAAATTCAGTAGGTTGTTGTCAAGATGAATTTCCTACTAGGCCCATGAGCAAATGACACCCCTCTCCTACTAAGAAATAACCAGGGCAGCTGAATTGAGAGGCACAACTTTTGAGTGTTCACCCTGCAATGATTATCAGAGATATTTTATACAGCTGTAAAGATTGTGAGCTATATAATTCCAGGGAGTGCTTTTCCTGTAGGGTGCAATGTGAGAAGCTTCCCCTGGAATTGTCTAGTTCAGAGGTCCCACACTGGTAATACGAAACATAACAGAACGTAGTGTTTACTAAGCAATGAATGAGACATTAAATGAGTATTTTTACATGAAGTAACCTATTGAACTATTTCCTTAACTCTTTGACACATTCACGTTTTATCCCATTTAATGTGAATAAATGAGAGGCTAAGGTAGGTTAATCCATCAAAGTTCTTACACAAAAGACTAGAATTTGAGGCCCAGGAGCCTGGCCTCTAGAGCACAAACTGTGAGAGTTTATCTCCTTAGTTCCTCAGGTCAGCATGGCCTTCACCTGAATTATTTCATTTCCTTCTTAATGGTGTCCTAGCCTCTCCCTGGAGGGTTGGTTTCGATGTATTGCTCACTTTCCCGGCTTGCATACGCACCTGCTTCTAGAACCATGGTTCCCTGTGCAATTGAGCAACTCTGACCTACAAATGGTGGGAAGGCTCTGGTGTTAGCACCACTATGCTCAGAGTGATGCCTTTGGCTATGCCCGTGAGAAAGAGTGGCCGCTGTTTAAGACGGGGACTTTGTTTTCCAGAAATTTCCCAGCGTTTAGTATACCTTTGAATGGTTGAATTTATGAATGGAGGGACAAAAGATGGTGTTGGGGGCAGGGATGGGGGAATGGGCAAATGCCTGACTCTTCAGCTGAAGAATAAAGACATTCCAGTGTCTTCTGGAACAGTTAAGCAAATGTTCCCTCTGGAAGGGCAGTGGCTGTGTTTTCTTGTCACACGGCCATGAACATGCTGTGACTTTGCAGAACTGCCCAGCCTCTTTTGGCCCAGAACAGGAATTGGGGCCTCTTTTGAGCATATTTCAAGTTTAAGAGCATTTATTACACTCAGCTGTAGAGTGATTCCCAAGTTCATCTTCTTAGAATAGAACCATTGGAATGAGCAGCAATTCCTTGGTCAGTTGAGTGATAACATTTTCATGGCTTTTACAACAGCGAGTAGAGAGGGCTTGTTGTGTTCAGGGTAATCCTTAACCCTTTCTTATCCATTGCCTCATTCATTCATTAAACAGTAAGTGTCAATCACCTGAAAAGTACCAGGCACTGGGCATTAGGACTGTTTTGTTTGGGTTTTGGTTTTGGCTTTGGCTTTCTTTTGTTGGTTGGTTGGTTGGTTGGTTGGTTGGTTTCTTATTTCTTGTTTTTTCCCAAACCTCAAATCATGTCACCTAACCTCAACCTGAGGCTTAGTGTCATGGAGGGCAGAAGGGTGGCAGTCGTGAAGCCGACCAGAGCTGCATAGGGAGACTCCCTCCAAAAGAGAGCTGAGTGGGTAAAAACTCAACGGTAGAGCTTGGGTTGCTTGGCTACCACGTGCAAGACCTTGGATTCAGGCCCTGGAGCTGGAGGAAAGGATAAGACGAGGGGAAATGAGATGCAAACCCTACCGCACTGTGATCCTCACCCCTACACATGCTGTTGCTGCTCACCTCCATCCTTGCTAAACCTTCTGACCCTGGATAACTTGCTTGTTCCTTCACTCCTTTTCATCAGCTGCCACATCCTCCCACTTCAGCATCATTGGGATGCCTCCATCCCTTCCTCTTCCCTCCTGGATGGCTTCTCACTCAGTAACAATATCTGTTATTGGAACCCATGAGTTACATGATTATACAGGGACCCTTGGGGTTAAGGTTACCTAAGGGACATGTGAGACCCCAGGCTGAGAGTGGTTGGACCTCTGGCTGTCAAGCAGGGACAGAGACTGAATTAGAAGAATTTGACATTATCAAGCCGACTTTTGATCCACAACACAGACATGTGCCTGTTGCAAATGTTAGTCAGATGGATGATGTAAGACTTAAAGAATGCCTCCATAGTAGTGCTTCTACCTCTTGTTTGAATGACTGATTTTTCTTTCTTTTAGACAAGAGTAGATGAATCCATTTTCCTTACCTTTCCTTGGGACATAAAAACCCAGAAAAAGCAACCCAGTGTTATCAACCCATTGGGTGTGTGATTCCTCTGCCCATATTCTTCCCAACAACAGTCATCTGCTACCAGAAATGACAAATCCTTTCATCCTTGGGGAAAGCATCCTTTAAAAGGTAGAACCTGTGAATGTCCAGTGATTTTCTTTTCTGCATGGTTAGGGAATTGTGACAAAAGACGTGTTTCAAAATGAAAACAACTTTATTATAATGTTTAAGGACTGCATTGAACAATCCTATTTAGACCATCAGCCCATAGCAAATGGACATGTTGAAAGAAAATATTGCCTTAGGGATTTATTTCAGGTCTTCTTCACCCTCGGATTCTGAAGTTCTTTCCCATTAGTTTCAGAATCTTTGAAGGTGTGCACCCTGCAGGACAATGGATGCACTGCCCTGTTTAACCTGGCACTGTGATTATTTCCTTTCTGCATCTAATGCATGCTGAAATTCATAGAAGTTGATGTCATTACTTAGTCATTTATTTGGTTGCTGTTTTTTTTTAACTCAGAAAGCCATGATGAAAACCCAGAAAACCTTCTGCAAATCTAAATGAGGCTACTTGAATTTTCCATTTTCTTAGAACAATCTAGATGATATTCCGGGACAGGTAGCACTATAGATTATTGGGGACTGGACTAGGGAAATGGGGTTTACCAATGCTGAAGCATCCAGTAGCATGGGCTGGATTTACTTTCCCCCATGACTTTGCTAAGATTTAAGATTCCAGAAGAAAACCTTGGTCACATGGTTTTCAGGGCATGAAAGAAGTCAATTATTTACCTTGTTTAATTTTTAATTCCCAGAAAGTTTTATTCTGGGTAAATTTTCTCTGTGCAATTCCCTGCTGCTGTCAAAACAGATTTTATAATAGGTAACTATTCTTCAAGAGTGGGGAAGAAATACTTAACAAGCAGAAACTGTTAAGGAACCCTGGCCTTTTTGCTGGCATCTGTTACTTATTGACAATGATTCAAGCCTTTTGAATTAGTGAGAATGCATTTGGACATGGCAAGTGCATTTTAGGTTTAGGTTTACCTGTGATTCTGGTGTCCCTAAGTCCTAATTTTCCAAGAAATTTTTACTTTCTGTGGGTAAATGTTTCTTTTTCAGAGATCTATGTGATTTCTAACATTCAGCATAACATTGTAACTCCCCAATAGTTGTCAGTTTACTCCAAAGGGAACCAAAAACTCCAGACTCAAGAACCAGGGAAGAAGGCTCAGCTGGTCCCCACTAGTTTGAAATGGTTTAGCTTCTTCTCACCTCACTGTGACTTCAGGTCATATTTATGCCTCTAGAAACTGGTGATATGCCAACTATGGAGGTTTGCTTCCAAAGGCAGCAAGACATTTAAGTTTCCGAAGATAAAGCTACTCGGATGACCTAGCCTGTATCTTTTGCTTCCTAAAAGAACAGAGTGACTCATGGAAGACAGGGAGCATTGTCATGTACTCCAACAATTCTACTCCTAAGAGCAGACTCAAAAAAAAATCAAATCAAGTGTTCGAACTGGTGTCTGAGTGTCCATAATAGCGTCATTCACAATAGTTCAAAGGGAAGTCACCAAACATCCATTATCAGATAAGTGAATAAACTAAGGGTGGCCTATCCATACCGTGAGCTATCATCTAGCCTCGAAGAGCAATGAAGCACCGAGACTCCAATATGGGAGCATTTTGGAAACACTGTGCTAAGTGAGAGAAGCCTAGTAGAAAAGAGCACATACTGGATGGGTTTCTGAATATGGCGTCCCCAGAATAAGCAAATCCATGGATATAGAAAGCATGGTCATCACAGCTAGGGTCTAGGTTAGAAGGAGGAAAGATGGGCGACTGCTTAACGGACACAGGATTGGAGTAATGAAAAAAATGTTCTATCACTGGGTTGTAGCCGTGGCTGCACGGCATTGCATTCAGGTCATTGAATTGACATTTTTGAGATGGTTACATGATGAATTTTATGTTCTTTCTATTTTTCATTATTGATGTGTATGTATGTGTACACGTGTGCATTTGTGTATGTGTGAATGACAACATCTGTGAGCCACAAACGTGTGGTGGTCAGAGGGCAAACTTTACTTGTTTTAGAGAGCCTTGTGTTGTTCTCTGCTGTGTTTGCCCAGTTAGATGACCCCCCACCTCCCAGGATCCTCCTGTCTCATTTCCCATTTCCCGTGCTGGGATTGCCGAAACTCAGGCTATCCCTCCAGATTTGACATAGGTTCTAGGGATTCAGATGAAGGTCTTCATGCTTGCATGGCAAATGCTTCTACCACTGAGCCATCTCCCAGCCCCTGTATTATTCCTTGTTTATCATACACATATAAAAAAAAAAGACATGGGGTGCATTGGGGAAGATGTTTCAGAGAGAAGCTGTATCTCAAACTCAAATACCTTCCAGGCAAAGCAGGTAAAAGAAAATTCCCGCCTGTGCTGGCTAGTTTTGTGTCAACTTGACACAGGCCAGAGTCCTCGCTAAAGGGCGATAGGCAAGCCTGTAGAGCAGTTTCTTCATTCATGATCGATGGGGGTGGGCCCAGTCCTCCTGGGCTGCTGGTCCTGGGTTCTATGGGAAAGCAGGCTGAGCAAGCTATGAGGAGCAAGCCAGTCAGCAGCACCCCTCCATGGCCTCTGCATCAGCCCCTGCCTCCAGGTTCCCGCTCTGTTTGAATTCTTGCCCTGACTGCCTTCAATGATAAACAGTGATGTGGAGGTCTCAGCGAAATAAACCCTTTCTTTCCCAAGTTGCTTTTGGAAATGGTGTTTCATCACAGCAATAAAAACAGTAAATTAGACAATGCCATTATGAGAGAGAGAAAGAGAGAGAGAGAGAGAGAGAGAGAGAGAGAGAGAGAGAGAGAGAGAGAGAGAGGGAGAGAGAGTGTATCTATGGCCCTCCCTACAGAACTTAAGATGAGGAATTCTGAAAGGAAGTATGCTAATAACACACCAAAAGCTTGCTGGTGTTAGATAAGCCAGGGGCAGCAGACACCCAGTCGAGGCAAGACTCAGCAACTCTCATGGCAGAAGCCAGTCTCTCCCCTGAAGCTTTCTGGGTGGTTCAAACTTAGAGTGTCAAGTGACAGCAATGCTTTGGACAGGCTTTGGTGACAACACAGATGGCAGAGGTCTACCTTCCAAGTGGAGTTTGTTGTTGGAATGATGCATGCCCCTGGTTCTATTTTCCTTTGCTGGATTATGGAAGTAGTCAGGTGTGACAGGGCAAGTGACTTAGGCTCCAATAGTCCCAGGTTCCTCATTTACAAATTGGAGATGATAGCCTTTGCTCTTTCGTGCTGCACAGATGTCCCTTTTACTGTCCATCCTTGGTACTCAAATAGCTCCTTCCTGAGAATCAGGGAAGTCCTGAGCATGGCCACCCTTGTCCATCAGGACCTATCTTCAGTGGATAGTTTTGGGGAGTCTAGAACTGAGAAGGGTCCACCTGCCAGAGCCGGGCTGTCAGACTGTGTACACCTGTAAGTGACTTCACTGAGAGTGAAAATTCACCCTCCAGGAGCCTGGAACAGGAAATAGACCAAACAGCATGATCTGTGGAGACAGTGTTTTAGTTATTTATGAGAGATGACGAACAACTAGGCAGGTGATAACCTTCCTGGTCCTAGAAGTGTTTTGATGCCGCCATGGCAACTATGGAACACAGTTTCTTTTCTTCTTTTCTCTCTTCCTTCCTTCTCCTTCTTTTTCTTTTTTAGACATTGTCTTTCTGGGTAGCCCTGGCTGTCCTAGAACTCACTATGTAGCCCAGGCTGGCCTCAAACTCAAAGATCTGCCTGCCTCTACCTCCTGAGTGCTGGGATTAAAGGCTGGTGCCACCATGCCTGGCCATTTGCTCCCTTCTTCCTCTCCCTCCAACCTTCTTCTTTCTCTTACCCCCTTTCTCTTTCCCTCCCTCCCCTTCTTCTCCCATCATTCATATATTTCTGTTCCTCCCTTCCTCTCTTTTTCCTCTCCATCCTCTTCTCCTTTCTTTCCTATTTTTTTCTTCAGTAATAGGGATTAAACCCAGGGGGTCTTACACATGCTAGACAAGTGTTCTACCATTGTGCTACATCCCCAGCCATGGATTCAGTGTTTGACTAAGTGTTAAATGAATAAATAAATAAATAAATAAATAAATAAATAAATAAATAAATACCTTGAAAGCCTCGTCCAAGCTAGTGTTCATTCATTCATCCACGCTTTCATTTCTTCACTCAGACAGACATGTATGGAAAACACATCCCTGTGCCGGGGATAAAGTTGTCAGATCCCTACATAGAGACAGTCAATGCCTAGGGATCTTGCCACTTTAACAGCTGTCTGGCGAAGTCATCAAACAACTGCAAGAAAAGGCGTGTGAAGCTGTGTGAGGCTTCGTCTCACCACCCCATTTGTCTCTTGCAGTGCACCAAGACGTGTGGTGAAGGCTCCCGGTACCGACAGGTGGTGTGTGTAGCCGAGGACCAAACCGAGGTGCACAGTGCACATTGTGACTCGGACCAGCGGCCTCCAGACCGTGAGAGCTGCAGCCTGCAGCCCTGCGAGTATGTGTGGATCACAGGAGAATGGTCCGAGGTACTGTCCTGGGGCACTTGTGATGCTTTCGGTATAGGAGCAGCAGGGTGACAGGGCAGGGAACCTGCCCTCCAGGTCTACTTCTGAGGATCATGTGTTCTCACCCAATGCCAAGTTCTCTGCCTTCTGCCTTCTGCGAGTCACCTTGATTTCTTTTTAATACAGATAAAAGGGAATTATTATAGGGGCTGAAAATCCTCAGGATGCCTTCAGGTGCCAGCAGGAAGTTATGTATAAGAATGTATCTTGGAGCCAGGTGGTGGTGGCGCACGCCTTTAATCCCAGCACTCGGGAGGCAGAGGCAGGCGGATCTCTGTGAGTTCGAGACCAGCCTGGGCTACCAAGTGAGTCCCAGGAAAGGCGCAAAGCTACACAGAGAAACCCTGTCTCGAAAAACCAAAAAAAAAAAAAAAAAAAAAAGAATGTATCTTGGGGCTGGAGAGAGCTAAGTGAGTAAGTGTTTGCAGTACAAGCACGAGGACTCGAGTTCAAATCCCAGGAACCCAGATGGAAGCTGGACCAAATAGACATCTAACGGACCGCAAGCCTCTTTTCCTTATAGGCTCCTGAGGGTAATGCCTAAATAGACACCTTTAGTTATTAATAAGCCAGTATTAAAAACACCACGATCACCTCATCTTCAAACCTCATAGTCTTTCAAAGTGCTAAAAGATCTAAAACTTCAAAATCATTGCATTGCCCAAAAGAACAGAGATTCAAAGTGAAAGCACCTTGGTTCAGAGTAGAGGTAGTAACAACGGTAGATAACATACGTGTTCACATGGGATCTCTCCATGCAGGCCTGAATGACATGAGTATTTGCCTCTAGATATATTTGCTGTGTTGAACTACATCTTCACTCAGATTGGTCCAAAAAGTCTTTCCTAACCATGCCCCCCCATCCTCTACAGCATTGATTTTCATCTTCTGAGGGGGCATTTGTCAATGTTAGAAGACATGCCTGGTCATCACAGCTAGGACAGGGGTCCTTCTGGTATCTGGCAGGTGGAGGCCAGGGTCGTTACAAAGTGATGCACAGTGTGCTGGGCATGCCCACAACACACACTTACACATCTGAGGTCCAGAGTTCCAAGGTAAAGAACTCTCCTCTGCTGTGTCCCACATGACTCCAGATGGCAGGAAGAGCCTTTAAACTGTGAAGGGGGTAGGAGGACTGGGGAGACAGCTTAGTGGATGAAACACTTACAGTGTGAGCATGAGAAGCGAAGTTCAGATCCCCAGCTCTCATGTAAAAAGCCAGGCACGCCGACGCACATCTGCAATTCCAGAGCTTGTGGGCAGTGACAGGAAGCTCTCCATGGATCCCACTGGCCGTCTAGTCTAGCCCATCAGTGAGTTCAAGGTTCAGTGAGAAACCTCTCAAAATTAGTGGTGGACAGTGATGGAAAAAAAACATCCAGCATTGAACTTTGGCAGCTACATATGTACCCACGATCATATACACATCAAGTAGGCCAGGCTGGCTGGCCAGCAAACCCCATGGATCCACCCATCTCCCTCCACATTGCTGGGATTACATGTGCATGCCACCACCTCTGGCTTCTTCTGTGTGGGTTCTGGGAATCAAACTCAAGTCCTTTTAATTACACAGTAGGTATTTTACTGGCTAAGTTATCTCCTCAGCCCTAGAAGAACATCTTTTGGAACATAGTTTTCAGCACTTCCATAGATTTTCAAGTATGTTACAGACTAAAACCATCCCATGTATTTTTATAGCAAAGGGTTGGAAACAGGTTTGGGCACGAACACAAGGACCACAGGACCAGGGTCTGCAAGGGCACAGGCAGGGAGAGGCTGGCCCCAGAACTCCTTCTAGAAACTGTGCTTGAAGATGCTAGAGTCACTGCAAGGTATTCCTTCACTCTGGGACCTTGGCTTCTGGAGAGTTTTCTGTGTTATTCTCAGCGTTCACACCTCCTGAGTGTGCAGGGCCTAGAACAGACATGCGAAGAGCGGCTGCAAGGAAAACGTGCATCTCTAGCATGTCTGAAATACAGTCCTGGTAGGCACAGGGGTATTTATGTTGCTTTGTTTCTACATTCAAGTTAGAACAGGAAACTTTACCTGTGAAGAGCTGTACACATAGGTCCACAGCATTTGGAGTCTACTTACCATGCCGCTGCCACTCATACACTTCAAAACCCTGGCCTCCCGGGGCTGGAGAAGCCATCAGTTGTTTCAAAGCACTACCTTCAACTGACCCAGTTGTTTTGGAGGCTTTTCAAGGTCGTGGAGGCTTCTGGCCCGGTTGGTGGCCCTGGTTCATCAGCATATGTGTGTCTCCTAAGATGTACAAATAGCTCGCAGGCTGCTTTTGCTTTTGGTGTCTAAGGGCTCAGGTCTCAGCATCTGCCTTCTCCAGTACACAGCCTTGAGGAAGTCGGTACAGACTGAGGCCATAAAGGCATGAGGTCATACCCTTTAGAACTCCCACAGCTCAGCTGGGCAGAGCTTGTCAACATCTCTCCACACTGAGACACTGGGGTAGTCTGAAGCCTCCTGGCCAGAAGTCAGCTGGGTCCTCCAGCATGTGAGCAGGAACAGTCAAAGAAGGAAGAAATAAAGATGGCACGTTTCCAGCTCTCCAGCCAGCTGGGAGGGAGGGCACAGGGGTGCTCAGCATGCCTCTGGCTGGCTTTTTTCTATCTTGTTGCTAGGATTCTTTCAAGGCCAGCCCAGAAAGGTTAAAGGAAAAGAAAATGGAGTAGCTTAAAGCAACAGGGCATGAGTCAAAGGCAGACATGGTGACTGTCAGTTATCCTTGGGTATTAAGAAAATTGGACCCTCACCCTGGAAAAATCCATGACATACATGTGACATGCTGTTTCCAGGAGCTCCTCTCATGCCCTACAGTCTAGGGAGGGGTCAGAAGACTGACTCCACTGTGCATTTGTGTAGTGCCTTTACAAAGAATGGTTTTCAGTCACAACACTACCTAAAAGTGTCATCCAAGTGACGTGAATTGTGACTTCATTTTATTTTGTTTCTATTAGCATATGTTAATTATAAATTTAAAATGGGCCTCATTGTGATAATTTCATCCCAGTATCCTCTCTTGTCCTCTCCTAGTCCCACTGATCCCCTTATCTTTTCTACTAGTCCTCTGTGTGTGTGTGTGTGTGTGTGTGTGTGTGTGTGTGTGTGTGTGTGTGTGATTATAGTTTTATTAGAGTTGCTTAAAGAAGCATGGGTGAGAAGTTATTTATAGATACAAGTGGTGGGCTACCCCACTGAAGAAAATGTTTCTCTCTCTCCCAGCAACCCAGCAACCATTAATTTCATACAGATCCTCAGAGAGGGGTGGGACTCGTGAGATCCCCCTCCCCTCCATAGCCAGATGTTGACTGACTCAATCTTTTTTTTTAATAATTCATTTTAACTTTATTTTATATGCATTGGTGTGAAGGTGTCAGATCCTGGAGAACTGAACTTACAGACAGTTGTGAGCTGCCATGTGGGTGCTGGGAATTGAACCCAAGTCCTTTGGAAGAGTGCTCTTAACCATTGAGCCATCTCTCCAGCTCTGACTGGCTCAATCTTATTTAGCTCTAATACAAGTCATCACAGCTACTGTGCATTCAAGAGTGCTACACCATGCCATGTCCAGAAGGTTGCAGCATTCCGTGGAACTCTACCTCATCCTCTGGCTCTTACATTACTTCTGTTCTGCCCTCTCTTCCGCGATCTTCCCTGAACCTTGGAAGGGGTAATAGGATGTCTGATTTATGGCTGAGCACCCAACAGTCTCTTATTTTCAGCACTTTGACCAGTTACGAGTCTAATTACTGCTGCCTACCCAAAAAGAAGCATCTCTCACCAGAGCTGAGGGCGGCACTAAACATGGACATAAATGCAATTATTTAGGAGGCAATTGGTGAGCATGCCATGTCCACCAGTGCCCAAGTGGCAAGTTGGTAGTGTATAAGTAAAACTGTTATTGACAGTTCTCACACCCGTAACCTGTAGAGCATGTTCCATCACTGTAAAAATAGGGAGGAAGCTTCCAGCTCTGTTTCTTTAGGCCCTGCATCCAAAATGTATGGTGTCTTTAGTCAACAGGGTCTTACCATCTAGTTATGGTGAGCAACCAACCACAGCAGCAATTGCCCGTATTATTTGGGGCCTCTTGAAAAATCTCCCTGACCAACGACTCACTGGGAGGTCGCCCACTCCATCACTGAGATTTTCATTGTTGTTGTCTCTAATTCACAGGGTCAGCTTTTCTCGTCTATTCAGGATTCTGTCTTGAAAACTTTTACTTTTAGGTTTTCTTTTTAGTTAGATTACCAGGTTTCCCTGTACCTTTTTCACATAACCTTAGTTTTCATTCCCCATCTCCCTCGTCTCTTAAAGCATTCCGTCCCCAGGATGCTTCCTTCTGATTTCCTGCATACTATTACCCTCCCCTGTCCCACTCTGAACACCATGTCCCCGCCCCATGGTCTCTTTCTAGTTTCCTGGCTTCCACACATACTCATTCCCACAGAAACATGCATATATAAAAATTAGTAGCTAGGACTTGCATATGAAAGATGACATGCAATATTTGTCTTTTTAAGTCTGGATTAACTCACTTAATAGAATGTTTTCCAATTCCATCCATTTTCCTGAAGAATTAATAATTTCATGTTTATTAATGGCTGGATTAAATTCCATTGTAAATGTGTACTATATTTTCTTAAAGATTTTATTTTTCATTTTTAATTATGTGTATATGTATATGTCCATGGGGGGGGGGGGGCTGTTCACCTGAGTGTAGCTCTCAATGAGACCAAAAGAGGATGTCAGATACCCTGAAGGTGGAGTTACAGATGGCTGTGAGCCGCCTGGTGTGGGTGTTGAGAATCAAGCTCAGGTCCTCTGCAAGAACCATGCGTGAATCTAATCAAGAAGCTGTCTTTCCATCCCTGCCCCACATCTTCATTACCCATCATTCAGTTGACAGACAACTAAGCTGATTCCGTTCCTACCTATTGTGACTAGAATAGCAATAAACATGAGCATGCAAGTCTCTAGGTGATACGGCAGAGTCCTCTGGGTGATAGGGCAGAGTCCTCTGGGTGATAGGATAGAGTCCTGGGTGTCCTTCCAGAGCAGCATTATCTGTGTCATGTGGTAGTTCTAGTTTTGGTTTTTGGGAAAATGTCTACATTGATTTCCGTAGTAGCTGCATCAGTTTACTCTCTCATAGTAAGTAAGGTGTTTCCACTCTCTATACCCTTGCCAACATTTGTTGCTAATTGGTTACATTACAATAAGAATTTTGACATGGAGAAAGGAAATCTCAAAAACTTTTAATACACATCTCTCTGGTGGAAAATGATATTGAACACTTTTTAAATCTTTACTAGCTGTTAATATTTTTTTTATTTTGAGAATTCTCTGTTCAGATCCAGAGCCCATTTTTTTTAACTTTTATTGATTCTTTGTGGATTTCACACCTTGCATTCCTATCCCACTTATCTTCCTGTCTCCTCCAATCTGCCCTTTGCCCTTGCCACCTGCCCCCCTCCACCAATCAAAACCAAATTTAAAAAGAAAACAAAAAACAAAAACAAACAAACAAAAAAAATCTTGCTGTGGAAGCTGTAATGTGGTCCACTGAGTCACAGAGTTTACCCTTTAGTCCATTCACCTTTACTTGCAACTGTTCATTACTATGTGTCTTTGGTCTGCCTCAAGGCCTCTGGTTTCTGCTACACTACTGATAATGGGCCCTCACTGGGGCTCTTATTGGATATCCTGTTGCTGTCCTGTGTTATGGAGATCCTGCCTGTTTTGAATCTGTAGGTTCATCCCCTTCACATGCTCCAACAGTTCATAGATTCTCTGGATGCTGGGGTGGGCCAACTCATAGCCCTGGTTCTGGGCCTGGGTGGTAGCTGGGTTGGTCAGCCTGCCAGCTCTCCCTCATTGTCACTACCCAGGCGAGCTCTCCAGCACCGCCTCAACTAGCTCACCCAATGCAGACTACAGTGAGGAGCAGGGCCAATCCTCCGCTCTCAGGTCCTCAGCTCTGGGTCCCCTGCGTTCATATCACCAGGGCCAGATCTGTTTTGCCCAGGCAAGATGCATGACCCTCTCTTCTGATTGCTGTAGGAGGAATACAAGGCGGGGGAGGCAGGGGTCAGCTCTCCTGCTCCCATGTCCTCAGGGCTGGCTCACTTGTGTACCCCCCCCCCCCACACACACACACATACAGCAGGGTCAGCTGTAGTGTGCTGCCCAGGCAAGGTCCAGGGCCTGCTCTCCTGTGTCCTGCAGCCGGTGAGGGTCAGAGCTAGTTCTCTCACTCTTGTGACCCTGGGGCCAGCTCGCTCACCTGCAGGTCGTAATCGGTTAGGGAGGGAGGACATCTTTCTCTCACCCATGCCACCACATGGCAGATGAGGGAGGGCTGGGTCAGCTCTCCTGCTCTCACACCCTCAGGGTCCGCTCACCTGCATCCCTGACCATAGGGTCAGCTCTAGTGTGCTGCCTATGGGAGGTGCGCGTCTGTGGTGAGGGGTGGGGTCACTTTTCCTGAGTTGTAGGTGGGAGAGGCACATTCTCCCCTGAGAGGCAGGGCCAGCTCGCCTGCCGCAGTATCCAGTGAGGAGCAGGGCCAGCCATCCTAGGGTCAGTGAAGGGCGGTGCTGGCTCAGCACAGCATGGTTCCAGTGGCCCCTGTGCTAACATGGGCCATGGACATCACCATAGATCCCAGCTGCAGCAAGACAACAAACCCAGATATGACCCTCGGGCCCTGGTGGCAGCACAGGCCACCCATATTAGCATGCCCCCCCCCCCAGACACCAACATGGTCCCAAGTGGCTGACTAGACCCTGGGCATCCACAGAGTCCTCCATGGCAACAGGAGCTACGGTCACCACCCCAGACCCTGGCACTGCAGGGCCATGGACCCAGACATGGTCCTAGGTAGCAGCCCATGCCAGGACATCTCCATGGATCCAGGTGGCAGCGCTGGCCACCCAGATCATCTTGGCCCCACAGAGTCCATTTTTTAATTAGGTTGTTTGATTTTTTTTTGTTTGTTTAATTTTTTGAATTCTTCATATAGTCTTTATAGCAATCCTCTGCCAGATGTATAATTGACAAGGATTTTCTTCCCACTTTGTAGGCTGTCTCTTAATTCAATTAACTGTTTCCTTTGCTAAACAGTGTTTTAATTTCATGAGGTCTCATTGTTGGACTTATTTTCTGAGTGACTGGACTCATGGTCAGAAAGTCTTTATCTGAGTCTATACCTGAGAGTGTTTTTTTTCTAATGTTTTCTCTATTAATTGCAGAGTTTGGGGTCTTACATTTAAGATCTTTGTGATATTTGGAGTTGATTTTGTGTGGTGAATGGTGGGGATCTAGTTTCATTCATCTAATCTGTTGAAATCCTGTTTTCTCGATACCATCTTCTGAACAGGCTGCTGTCTTGCAAGTGTGTATTTTTGGCATCTTTATCAAAGACCTGGTAGCTGTAGCTGTGTGGATTATATGTAGAGCCTATATTCCAGTTGTTCTCAATCCGTGGGTCATGACCCCTTTGTGGTCATGTTATCAGATATTCTGAATATCAGATGTTTACATTATAATTCATAACAGTAGCAAAATTACATTTACGAAGTGGCAATGAAAATAATGTTATGGTTGGGGGTCACCACAATATGAAGAACTGTATTAAAGGGCCACAGCATTAGGAAGGTTCAGAACCAACAATGTAATCTATTTGATTGATCCAGGTAGATCTGTTTTCACGCCAGCACAATGCTGATCTTATTACTGTAGCCCTCTAGCATAACTTGAAGTTGGACATGATGATGCCTCCAGCATTATTCTTTTGTCTAAGGATTGCTTTGGCTCGTTGGTGCTTCCGTGTGAATTTTGGATGACATTGGAATTTTGATGGGGCTTGCACTGACTCTGTAGATTGCTTTAGTGGGATGGCTGTTTTCACACTATTAACCCAATCCATAAGAGGTTTTCCCATCTTCTGGCATCTTCCTCTATTCATTCCTTCCGTACTTTCAAGTTCCATCATGGAGATCTTTTGCTGCCTTGTTTAGGTTTATTTCAGAGTTGGTTGTTTTTTTGTTTTGTTGTTTTGGTTTGGGTTTTTTTTTTTTTTTTTTTTTTTTTGCCAATGAGATTGTTTTCCTGGTTTCTTTTCCACGTGTGTCATTGGTAGACAGGAAGGCTACCGATTTTTATATGTTAATCATGTATCCTGCAGTTTGGCTGGATGTGTTTATCAGCCGTGAGAGTTTTCAGGAGGAATCTTTGGAGATTTTTTTTTTATGTATAGAATCATATTGTCTGCAAATAGGGTTGTTTTTACTTCTTCTTTTCCTATTTATCTCTCTTTTATCTTGTTAGTCTAACTCACCAGCCTTCTACCGAGTACAGAGACTGGACAACCTCCTCTTTTTCCTGATCTTGGAGGAAATGCTTTGAGTTTCTCTGCTGAGTATGTTTGGCTGTAGGCTTGTTGTGTAGCTTTCATTGTGTGGGAGTGTGTTCCCTCAACTCACAGACTCTCTGTGGCTTTTATCATGAATGGATGTTGGATTTACATCAATGGCTTTTTCTATATCTACCGAGAAGGTCACGTGGCTTCTGTCTTTGAGTCTATTTACTATGATGTATTGCATTTATGGGTCTGCGTATGGTAAGCCATCTCTGCATCTCTGGAATGAAGCCAAGGCGATCATACTTTTGATGCGTTCAAGAACTTCACTTGCACGTATTTTATTAATTTCTGTGTCTGTTTCCATCTGGGCTGTTGGTCTGTCATTTTCTTTTTGTTGTTGCTGTGTCTTTTGCCATATACTTACCAGAAAACAATCACATGATGACATGATTTAGAAAGAAAGCAGAAAGGTGACTTGGTGACCAGAGTACATAGCGAAGGAGAGAAGAGAGGAGGAAACTGGGGGAAAGGTGACTGTCCACAAGCAGAGCACCACAGAGAGCAGGAGACTGAATGGGGGAACTCCCAAGTCTCCTGGGAAAGTATTTGCATTGCACTCTGAGAATGCCACTCACAGGCTGGCTGCGGGCCCCTGGTCCTCTCCACATTCAGTGGGTTACTGGCATGGTCTTAGAGGTCGAGAAAGGGGGAGTTTGATGGCATAGGAGTATCTCTGTCCCTCTCTGGGAGCCCCAGACAATGAAGGGTTGTGAGATGCCTGCCTGGGGAAGCCCCAGTTTGAGGAGTGCCTGACAGAGCCTGCTGTGGCCTGAGATGAAGGCTTCAACAGATAAATAAACGGAGCTTCCACAGGAGGGTAAACTCGGTGTGGAGGGTGGGGGCTTACTGTGGCTGCCACAGGAAACCTCTGGAACATCCCCTCTTGACCCCTCTCTTCTCAGTGCTCAGTGACCTGTGGAAAGGGCTACAGGCAAAGGCTGGTCTCCTGCAGTGAGATTTATACCGGCAAGGAGAACTACGAATACAGCTACCAGACCACGGTGAACTGCCCAGGCACGCAGCCGCCAAGCGTCCGTCCCTGCTACCTGAGGGACTGTCCTGTCTCAGCCACCTGGAGAGTTGGTAACTGGGGCAGCGTAAGTAGGAGGCTGGGTTGTCAACTCCGAAATCTCAAACCTTCTCTGAACCCTTCCTGCCTGCAGCTTGGCCTGGCTGATGGGAGGAGAATGGGCAATCTCCATCCAAACAGCTGAGGCTCACTTTGCCTCATCCCAGGAAAACACAAGTTGTCCAGTTTTATGCCTCAGTTTCTTCATTTATAAAATGGATATCTATGAAGATAATTTGAGTTAATGTATAAAAAGCACTTAGATTATTGTGGTCAATTTTATGTTACATTTTGCTATTTTTCCTACGTCTTTACCACCCTTTTTTCGAGTTAGCCTTTAGAATCCGGCCTCTCCTAAGAGTTGCCCAGGAAGCATTTTGGCTGCTTCCCTTGTGGAGGATTCTACACTCTAGTCTGCCTGTGCAGGGAGACCTTTGTTTGCTCAGGACACAGAGCAGAATATTCTAAATTAAGTCCGTTTGGAAAAATCACAATCTTCTGGCTTTGGGCTACAAAGCTCTCAGGGGGAAAGTGTGTGATGTGATGAAAGTCATTAGGATCTGAATCCCAACTTCACAAGGACCTTGAACAAATTCCTTCACATCTGAGCCCAGATCTTCCATCTGTTAAAAAAAAAAAAATAGTTGTGGTGCTATCTCACAGGATTAGTATGTAGTTTAAACGGGGGAAAGTGGGTGTATAACTACATACAGGGACACATGTGTTAAAGGTTTGATATAGAAATGTGTGTTTTACATATACATAGTATGTGTGTGTGTGTGTGTGTGTGTGTGTGTGTGTGTGTATATATATATATATATATATATATATATATATATATAAAATGTTTCAGTATGTATATGTGAAGCTTAACATGACAACTAGTCATGGTAAGAAACCAATAAATGCCCGCTTTTTGTCACACAGCCCAGGGCTCCAAGCTTTGTGTCACGATGCTTACACCTCCCAGGTTCAAGGGCCACCCATTGACTCCTCTTTGCCTTCCAGTGCTCGGTGTCCTGCGGCGTGGGAGTCATGCATAGATCTGTGCAGTGTTTAACCAATGAAGACCAACCCAGCCACTTGTGTCCCACTGATCTCAAGCCAGAAGAACACAAAACCTGCCACAACGTTTATAATTGTAAGTTGCTCGACTGACGCCTTCTTTGTCTGCCATGGAGAGCAAAGCGTCTCTGTTTGTCTATTTGTCTGTCCTCTTTAGAAATGTGCTAATTCTCTGTGTGTTGTAGGGTGGATTCATGGGGGGGGGGGGGGGTAGGAGGGGCCTGCACTTTCATACTCAAATTTTTGGAGGCCAGAGATTGATCTCAAGTGCCCTTTCTCTCCACCTTACTGTTGAGACCAAGTTGCTCACTCAACCTAGAGCTCACTGGTTGGCCAGACTTCTTGCTGATGGATCTTCATTGCCCTCCTGTCTCCACCTCCCCAGTTCTGAGATTCCACAATGCACATTCACAGCCAGCTTTTTTATGTGTGAGTTCTGGGGCATCAAACTCAAGTCTTCGTGTTTGCCTGGCAAGCACTGTACTGACTGGACTACCTCTGTCTCCTTGTCTCTCTTCTCCCCACCAATCTCCCTCTCTCTTTAATCCACCCCTTGGCCAGTTCGTGCAGACAGTGTGATGTATTCTGTTGGTAGATACCGAACATCTGAGACAACCGCACCCATTTCTGTGATGTGTATTCCCTAGGTGAGCTACCCCAGAACTGCAAGGAGGTAAAAAGACTCAACAGCGCCAGTGTAGATGGAGAGTACTTCCTGATTGTTAGAGGGAAACCCCTAAAGGTGAGTGTTGAAGTCAGTCATTGTGTGCAGACTGTTTTCCTGGTCATCTCTGCACTCATCACTCCTTCTGAGTGCCTCTGTTGGAATCTTCCTCGCGTATCTTGCAGGTATTCTGTGCAGGGATGCATTCTGACTATCCCAAGGAGTACGTGACGCTGGCCCATGGTGACTCGGAGAATTTCTCCGAAGTTTACGGGCACAGGTAAGAGGCTGGGTCCCAGAAGAGCTTCGGTGCCTGGAAGCCCCTAGAGAAGACGTGCCCATTCTCACCACAGTGCTCCCTCCATTGCTTAGGCTGCACAACCCCACAGAATGTCCCTATAACGGGAGCCGACGAGACGACTGTCATTGCCGGAAGGATTACACAGCTGCTGGCTTTTCCAGTTTCCAGAAAATTCGAATCGACCTGACCAGCATGCAGATCATAAGTAAGTTCAGGGAAGCATCCTGCGGAAGCGCATACCTCCCCTCCGCTCGGGGGACACAGGTCCCGTGAGCGGGTAGATATAGAAGGGAGGTCACACAGGGTGACCACAGTCCAGCAGTGACAGCCCTGCCATATGCTTCACAGGTCAAGGCTTTGTCCTTTATGTTCAGTGCTGACTTGCGGTGCCTAGAGTGTGGCTGGTATAGATCAGGTCTCTGTCTGGTTTATATTGAGTGAGGGAAGGAAAGAGATAAGTATTTGCTCATGGAAGTTTTCACCAATGCGTGTTGGGCCTTGGGGCAGCATCCTAGTAGGCGTGGCCTTGGGACCAGGACCTTGAGGATGTGAAGGGGTTAGCCACTGGGTGTCTATACAGGGAAAGGAATAGAGCAGGAAAAAAGCTTCTGGAGGAGATGGAACAGCAGCTCGGAAACAGTAGCAAAGTCATTTGTAAGACATATCCCCCTCCAGAAGGCTCTCCCCAGCACAGAGTACATGCACACATAGGCAGAAAACTAATTTTATCTGATTGTTGATTTATGGAAGAAAAATGGCTCCAGAATTCCCTTTCCTAACAAGCCTGCCCATGGCCTGATCTCATACTCTGGCCAGCACTCTGTTTCTGCTGGGCACATTAATCATTAGAGCTGGCAAAGACAGCTAAAATATCTCAACACGGTCTCTTGAATAGAGGAAGAACAGGAATAGTGAAGAATTAAATTTTTTCTTATTAACATTGCACCCATAATATTACTCTGGTTTCCTCTTGAGTTAGATTTAAGTGTGATTTGTACGGGGATGTTTTTTATTTGCTGTCAGCTATACAGATTAGGATTAGATGCACTAGTTCTGTGGTTTCTTTGTTGAGAAAAATGCCCCAGGTTTAGTTCATCAGGATGGGGCTCATGACCCTCTCTCCTGAGCAACCTTGCCTTTAAACCCTAATCCACTGAGGACCTATAGGAATTAAGTTGCAGTTAAGTTGCTAAGGGAGGGAGACACATTTTCTTTAGTGATGTGGCCATGGATAATTTGCCCTTTAAATAACCTCTCACCCTTATTCCTCTAAGTGACTGTAATGAAACTTACTGGGTCACACACACACGAGAGGTACGAAAATAAGCGGAGTGTCTGGAAAGAGGAAGGCATTGCGTAGGCATGGGAGGGGAACAAGAGAAGGGAATGGGGTCAATATGGTCAAAAGACGTAATGTGTGTGCATATGTGTATGTGAAGGGGCCATAACCCACGATTATATATAATTAATATATGCTAATGGAAACTTTAAGAAGAAAAGACCCCAGCGAAGAGCCACTAAAGTAACCAAGGATGTCTTTGCTTAAAAACCGGAGTCCCAAATTTCTTTCCAATGAAAGCAGAGTTTGCTGTGGAAAGAGTTAGGCCTGCAGCAGTTCCTGGAAGGGCAGAAAGATTAAAAAAAAAAACCTACTGGGCCACCCCAGCCACCCCAGCCACCCCAGCCACCACAGCCACCACAGCCACCACAGCCACCACAGCCACCCCAGCCACCCCAGCCACCACAGCCACCACAGCCACCACAGCCACCCCAGCCACCCCAGCTACCACAGCCACCCCAGCCACCCCAGCCACCACAGCCACCACAGCCACCACAGCTACCACAGCCACCACAGTCACCCCAGCCACCCCAGCCACCACAGCCACTCCAGCCACCACAGCCACCACAGCCACCTCAGCTACCACAGCCACCCCAGCCACCACAGCCACCACAGCCACCACGGCCACCACGGCCACCACAGCCACCACGGCCACCACAGCCACCACAGCCACACCAGCCACCACAGCCACACCAGCCACCACAGCCACACCAGCCACCACAGCCACACCAGCCACCACAGCCACCACAGCCATACCAGCCACCACAGCCACACCAGCCACCACAGCCATACCAGCCACCACAGCCACACCAGCCACCACAGCTACCACAGCCACCACAGCCACACCAGCCACCACAGCCACCACAGCCACACCAGCCACCACAGCTACCACAGCTACCACAGCCACCACAGCCACCACAGCTACCACAGCTACCACAGCCACCACAGCTACCACAGCCACACCAGCCACACCAGCCACACCAGCCACACCAGCCACCACCTGCAGCCCCTCTGCAGTTCACTGTTTATCCTCCTGTGCATTGTGGAGCTTCAAGGCGCGGCAGCGGGTTAAAAAATAACTGTGGATCAACACTGTTTTTAGTGGCTTTTCTCCCCACTTTGAAACTGTAAGCTAGCCCCAAACTTGAGAAATTGCCATTAATAACTTCAAGATGTGTGTTCTAATTGTTCTACATTCTGGCAAGAATCGGGCCTAGGCCACAGGAGGACAGAGGAAACTTGGGGGATGGCCCCTAAGTGGCTAGAAATACTTCCCTGGCTTCTTGCCCTGTCCTTAAGCCGGGCATGCGGGGTAACAGGAGGTTCACCCGTGCTCAATTACCGCACTTAAGTGATTCCTATTTATGTAGGAATCAATTCTAAGGTCATGTTAAACCTCTTTTTGGCTCCCATGCCCTGTGGAGACGGCAGTCAGTGCTGATAAAGGCCAGGGAAAGAAGCTCTCAAAACCACAAGTGTGGCGGGGAGAACACCAGTGCACATCTGGATCCATTTGCTCACTAATAATTGGAGTTATTTCTTTCTCTCCCATCCCTTCCTCCTCCTCCTCCTCTTCTCCCGTCTTTCTTCTTCATCTCCTATCTCCTTATTAACATCCCGTCCCTCTCCCCTGCCTTTCTTTCTCTCCCTTTAACCCTTTCCCCACCCACAGCCACTGACTTAGAGTTTGCAAGAACAAGTGAAGGACATCCGGTCCCTTTCGCCACTGCTGGGGACTGCTACAGCGCCGCCAAGTGTCCACAGGTATGTCCTCAAGCCTTACGGCCTCCCAGGAATCCTCTGCTCCCCCTGCTTCACAGGCCCCCTCTGTCCGAGTGTTCCTACAGTTAGCATGGTTGATCATGGGGCAGTTTGGCTGCCCTGCCTCAAGGGCCTCGCAAATGCTTTTGGAGTCTAACCCAGGAGTGTGACTCCTAAGAAACGCTCACAGCCACAGGCATAACTTCTGCGTTCAGCAAGATGCGTCAGGCATCATGGCCAAGACTTATAAATGAATCAGATGTGGGATGGCAAAGACTCGGTTCGATGAATAATGGCTCAATAAATGAATACTGCAGTCAGTGGAATGTTGGTTAATGCTTAATGATGGACTTTCCATCAACAAAATGCTTGCTGTGTAGCATTTTCCAGTTTCTATGGTATAAATATTCTCCCTGTGACTGATTTAAACTCTCACTGACAGTATGTCACTAAATGATCTGGTGGTACAGATCTGAAATCTCAGATATTTCGGAAGGATGAGGCAGGAGGATTGGAAGTTCAAAGCCTACCTGGGCTACAGAATGAGTTACAAACCAACTTGGCAACCTAGGAAGTTAGACCTTACCTCAAAAAAAGCATTGGCATTCATACACAAGACCACAGATCCATCCCCAACACCTACCCAAACAAAGAAAGAAAAGAGGAGAAAAAAAATTACATGTGAGCTTCAGCATACCAATTTGTCATTATAAATTCTGATATTACAAGATACAGAAAAACACATGGTATTATAGAAGAGAAACCAATGTCAAAAATATAGCATGTACCATGATCCTATCTGTGTGCTTTGGGTTGCTTTTCAGTGTGTGTGTGTGTGTGTGTGTGTGTGTGTGTGTGTGTGTGTGTGTGTGTGTGTGTATGGTGTGGTGTGTATTGTGTTCGTGTTGTAGTGCTTGGAATTGAACCCAAGGCCTCTTGCATGGTAAACACCTGCCGTACAGCTGAGCTACACCACTAGCCTCTGTTTTCTCTGAAATATTTCTTGAGAGTTTCATGAGTACTGAATTTACATCATTCCAACCCTCCCCTCTCCCTGACACTTTTTAAAATGTGTATTGGTACAGAAAAGATCTAGAAGGAGGGTTTTTTTTTTAATATCTGTGGGGTGTTTAATGGTTTTAAATAAATAAATATTGGAACCGGAGGTCTCAAGATTTACAAGGCATACTTGGGCCTCCTCTGACTCCGTAAATGTTGAGCTTCTAGAACAGTCTCAGCAAATGAGCTGCCCCTTCTTTTACACTTACTCCAAGCCAGGTCATATCTTTGTTGTTGGAAACTTACAATGTCCAAGCCCAAGGAACCCATCGCCCATGAGGAGAATAAAACATCAACAACCGTGACATGACATTCTAAAAGTCCCCTTCGCCTGAGCCTTGGGGCTCTGGAGGTGTCTTGATTCCATCTGTTAGCTCTCCTGCAGATGTATAAAATTCGCAGTGTTCGTACCAGAAATGCAAGCTAAGCGTCTTCCCCTCTTCCTGCCCAGGCTACAGTCACAGGCTTTCTTGCCTCTTCCAAGCCTTTGGGGATATGCTCAGTGTTCAAGTGTTAATCAGCCTGGACTAATTTTGCAAAATGGCCAGTAGCTTTTGCAAGAAGCGTCAGCACTTGGAGTATGCTGAAGAATCCTCTTCTAGACAAGAAAACAGCTCGCTGTTTCCTTTGGTTCCCGTGGGTCTTTGCAAAACTGCCGTTAGCCTGTGCTGGGAGTTTCCCACTTGTGAGCATTCAGGAGTCTGGGCATTAGGATTGGAGGATGCATTCAGAGTCCCAGACATTATCTCTGAAGGATGGGTGGCTTTGTCCCCAGCCACAGATTCCTCCAAACTCACCTGTCCTCAGAGCGTTTTGTGAGCCCCCAGTTTTAGGACAGCACCAGTAAGCATTTTAGAGGCTTGGCGGGGGCGCCCTGTGGAAGAAAGAAAAACAGCATGGGACATAATGGTTAGAGGGGATTTTCCTCCTTCATCAAGGAATTCCAAACGTTTGTAGTGCAGTTTCTTCGGAGCGTGGAGGCTCCAAGCATCCTCTCTGTGTGGCTCGCATTTCAGTAGCTAAGCGGCTGACCCTGCCCTTTTTGGCTGTCTCAGAATTTTCTCATTTCTATGTGCCTATCCTTTAGGAAGTTAATTCTTCAGTAAGTGAAGGGTAATTTGTTTTTATGTATTTTAATAACTCATTTACTAAACTCTAATAAGAAGTGGTTGTTAAGTAGGAAAAAGCTATGCCAGGGAGAGGATTTCTATTTTTCCCTCAGCCAATTCTTTGGACTCTATTAGGTTCCTTCAGGATTCCTTAAAAATTGATTGAGCATTGACCATACTGATGAAAAACCTGAGGTTTTTTTGTTGTTGTTGTTTTTCAATTTTCCAGGGAAAGGTTCATAGGCAGCCTGACGAGGTGCAGCCTGCAACCTCGTGTCTGAAATCAAAGCAGAAGGAAGCTCTGTTTGAGCCTCTGTTTCCTGCTCTTCACTTTGTCTTTGCTTTAAAAACTTACTTTTCAGTCCAAGGAAATTCCTGGGAGCATCACCTCCACAGAATACGGTTTTTTATGCTGATCACGGTAAACTCAGTATTGTTTCCACGGACACTGATATTAATCACTCACCTTTATTGAAAATTTTCTGTTCTTCAGGCATTGTGCTTAACATTCGTAAGACATTAGTGCCGAGTCTCAGCTTTCCATCCCCTTGAGATGAAATTCTAACTTTTCCAGAGCACACAGATGTCTCTGGACAGGCTGGATTTGATTTCAAGCTGTCTGAATCCCTCTCCACTAGGTAGGTGGATCCTTCTCACCCTGGTACCAGGAAGATCCTGCCACATTCTCGCTTGTTGGACAAGAATAGGACCGACCCCTCTTGGTCTGAGTACCTCTCCTGCAGACCTCTGGAGATCATCTAGCATGTGTATAACTCTCCATTTCTCTCCCTCCTAAATCAAGAGTCAGTTGTTACACAAGACAGGAGGGGCAAATACGTCCCACAACAGAGATAGAGACCATGAGGTCTTTTCTTCTCCAGGGTTCTTAGTTTTCATAGTGCCAGTCAGCTAGGATGTTTATGGAAAGTGCAGGTCCTTCAACCAGAAAATTCGGAAGAATGAGGAAGACGACCTGCTGTTGCCTTCAAATGTGTCCCCCTGCTGAGAGTATGGACCCACAAGGTTACAAGGAGCGAGCTCAGTCACAGGCGGCCCAGAATGTTAGTGGCATTGTAAGGACAGGAGCTAGGCCAGCATCTACTTTCTGACCAGATATTGCTTCTGCCGCACAGCAAAACGGTGTGTGTGTGGGTGTGTGTGTGTGTGTGTGTGTGTGTGTGTGTGTGTGTGTGTGCAGGTGGGAGGGGGAAGCGAGCAGCCCTGGGTGACTGTGTGATGTGGGACACTATGGATGGTGGGTCCTGCCCCTCTGAGTAGCAGTGACCATGAGATAAGGAAGCGACCAGTGGGATCTGAGCATGACAGTGTACACACCTGCACTCTCAACGCTCAGAAGGCGAAAGCAGGAAGACACTGCGTTCCAGGCAGCCTGGGCCACATAATGAGACTTTCTCTCCAAACTGTCTTGCTTTTTTAATTTTTAAAACTTGGGAAGGAAAACAAAAGGCCAGCAACAGAAAATTGTGTGAGGAGATTGGCATGGAAGTCCCGGTCTGGCCGTATTCACAGACACCTGGATTGAGACGACTCAGTATAAGGACTGCTAACATCCACACAGCATAGTCATTACAAATATCTAATAATACCTCCTACTGTCTGACAGGCCAGGAGCTAGGTGAAATATGGGGGGAGGGGGGCTCCCATCCCATAACCTCTTTTTCAAAAGTTTGGTCTTATTAACCCATTTTATTGACGGGCTGGGGAAGTAAGCCACTTGTTTATAACCCACGGAAGCAGACGCAGGAGGGGGTGTTGTCGAGTGAATCCATTGTTTACTCCCGAGATTTCTCACTCTGGGCACTTTGGACCTTGAGGTTCAGGGCTGGATAACTCAGAGACAGGGGCCTGTCCTGTTACTTACAGGCAGTCCCACGGAGTCTTTGGTATCCCCCTGTTGAGTAAACCCTTCTCCTGCCACCATCTGGGATGGCTCTAACTGTCTGTAGACATTGCCACATCTCTTCTGAAGACAAATCACCCCCACCGTGACCACGGGCTGCTCACCACACAGATACCCTCTTTCCTGTCTCATGTGCATGGTGCCCCAGCTCCAGAACGGTTTGCAAGTTTCATTTGCTTCTATTTAAGAAACTGGTAGGAAGAAAATTCCAGTGCCACACCTCATCCTGGAGTTTCAGCAGAAGATCTCGAATGTGCTACTTACTGGAAAATCGATCAAGTGTCAGTCACGTTACTGCTGATAACTAGTATAAACAGACAAAGTGATACTGAGCCCCTCCCCTAAATAATTATGATTAGACTAGGCAAATTAGAAAATGTAGGAATGACGCTTGCATTTTGTTTTGTTTTGTTTTTCGAGACAGGGTTTCTCTGTGTAGCTTTTGCGCCTTTCCTGGAACTCACTTTGTAGACCAGGCTGGGCTCGAACTCACAGAGATCCGCCTGGCTCTGCCTCCCAACTGCTGGGATTAAAGGCGTGCATCACCACCACGTAGCAACGCTCGCATTTTGATTGTAGATACTGGTATTTATACTATCGGCCACATGAGATTTTATTTTATGTATTTTTTTATTTACTTATTTCTCCTGGAGTTTTGTTTTTGTTTTAAGACGGGGTTCCCCAGGCAATGCAGATGGCCTGGATCTGACTGCCATCCTCCTGTCTCAGTCTCCTGAGCATTGGGATCACAAGCAGGGACCACCACATCCAATTTATATGTGGCTAATTTCATTTATTCCTAGCTACAGTAAATGAGGGAGGTATGTGCGTTACCTTCCATTTTACTTTTACCCGCGGACTAAGGGAGATCTTGAGAGAGGCTGGAATCAATCTCTCTCTCTCTCTCTCTCTCTCTCTCTCTCTCTCTCTCTCTCTCTCTCTCTCTCTCTCTCTCTCTCTCGGATCTAATCACTGCTGAAGGAGTTAACTCGTTCATACCAGGGTTTGGTTGTGAGTGGCACCTCTGTGCTTTAACTTTTGACAAAGCTGTGGGTTCTCAGTTTGGGGAGAAAATAATCCTGAGAGCATGTTCACGTAGAACATTCTCAGCTGGGAAACCGCCAGTGGTGGAGATGGTTTTGAAAGAGAGGAGAGACCGATACACTGCACTGGCTTCTAAGAGATAAATATCAAAGCGCCCAGACCACACACCCTGGGGGCCTTTGGGAAATCTGTCCCTGGAGTAAGGCTGGGGAAAGCGGGTAGAGAGGTTGGGGGGTGGGAACTTCTTCAGCAGGCCAAACGCGCCCTCTCGTGGACGCTCTGGGAAACGCGCCTCTGCTTTGAACTCACACCCAGCGGTGCTTGGTACACAGTGTGCTTGCTCTTCGCCCCAGGGGAACTGGAAGCCCAGGAAACTTTGGCAGCTAGATCTTGTTAGAAAAATTACACTGTGGCATTTTGGTCGTGAAGGAATCTGATAATTGTGAACAGCATCAGAGTTGCTGTGCTACGGAGGCCGACTGGAGGAAGCTGTGAGAGAGGATTTAGAAGTCAGTAAGAGATGACCGGGGCGTTCACAGTGTTCTAGAGGGAGTTAATCGCCTGCGATCCTGGGTTTCACCATCTGTAAACAAAATCCCCACCTAGAAATCATGAATGTGAAAGTGTGTGGCTCTGGCAATGGAATATAACAAAATACCTTCAAGGATGCGTGGCCATCAAAACTAATTAACACCCTTCTCCTTCCCAAAGTGCCTTTGAAAGTGTCAGCTTTGCTTTGTGTGGTATGTCACGTGGGCTGAAAGTCTTTTGCCCTGGCCTTGTGTTCCAGGGGCGTTTTAGTATCAACCTTTATGGGACCGGCCTGTCTTTAACGGAGTCTGCCCGATGGACATCACAAGGGAATTATGCCGTTTCGGACATCAAGAAGTCTCCGGTAAGACTGCGTATTGCTTGGGGGTGGAGGACGGCCCTTGCTTTCATTTTGTGAGTATGGTGGCTGTGGACTGCAGGAGCCAGTGTGCTTTCCCACTCTTCAAACTCTTTATTCCCCCAAAGTGCCAGAGAGAAAATGTAGAACGTAAATGCAGGAAGGAGTGAGCAGGGGGGTCTCATCTCACCTGGTTGGAGCTTTTCCCACCTGGTAAATGCTAAGCTGTTCAGGCACCTGGGAGGACTACCTAATCAAAAGGGGACCGGGGGTTGGCGGGGTGGATGTCTAGAACACACACAGCTCAAATGTCTTTACTAGTCAATGTAACTCGCCTATATGAACCTAGGAAAATGATGTTTTGTTTTGCTCCTGCTTTGTTCTGCTCAAAAACAATTGCAGTTCCGAGAGGAAGAGGTTATGGGTGATATTTTCTGGGAAGTTAGGGATACCCACACGGCTTCCACAATAATCCACTTTGGAGCCACCCTGCACCTAGCGCACAAGGCGTGCCAGCAACACTGGAGCATATTGGAATGCAGGCGTGAGGGTCCTGGTCTGCTGGGTCCAGTTCTGGAGCTGAACAAGCCCCAGGTGATTGAAAAGCGTGGCATAGCCAGAGAATCAGCCATCCTGTGTACAGTGGAGCCACCTGGGACGTTTAAATGTACCGTCTGGTCCCTGTGACCAGGTTAAGGGATCCAAACCTCCGGGGCTGTGTCTCCATGGTGATTCTGATGGGCAGTGAGGCAGAAACTCCCCCATCCCTTACAGCCCTTCCGGTGAGTTCCAGTGCGAGGGTCCCCTGGAGACATAGGAAGTTTCCCCGTTCCTGTTCAGTTGTCCCTGCACATGTGAGTCATGAAGAAAAGGAAGAGGGTGAACAGCCCCGAGTCCAGAAGGGTGTGGCCAGATGAGGCGCAGCCACCTGGTTAGTTAGGACTGCAAGTTAGGACCGCAAGGCCACGGGAAATGGATTTTTTACTATTTCACTAAGATCATATAGGACGTTTATATACTTTAAAACAGTCTGTCCCCAACTACGGGGGAGCACACCTGTAACTTCAGCAATAGGGAAGCTTCAGTTTGAGGCCAGCTTGAGTTACCTACCTAGACCCTGTCTCCAAACCCCCAGTTCCACAACTACTGATAAGCAAAGGTGATATGGTGCTTATCTGAAATCCATATTTGACTGGTGTCTGTGTTTCTCTTGCTAAATTTGACAATCTTTTCAAGCATGCTGCCTTGGGTTAGAACCAGAAGATGAAGGAGCAAGGCCCCAGGATGGGGGAGGTCCCATTCTGACTTTCTCAGGAAAATGTGTTTCCCGACCCCCTTTTAAACTTCTGGAATTGTATCTGTATCTCAAGTCCTCATTGCGCCACCAAGCTAGTCCGGGATCACAAATCTGAGTCAATGGCCACATTGATTGCTCATGATTTAATCATAAGTATTGCCCTCCCACCGAGAGGAACAGAGACAGTTAAAATGGCACAGTGACCTTTGACTGCACCCTGATATTACAATATCCTTCCCCGACCCCAGATCTATAGGGTTTTTTTTACAAGAAATAAAATTAGTATGTTTTATTGTGTTCATTTTTTGACATGTGTAATATGTCTCAATGACCAAAATTGAAAATTTTAACTGTTTTAGATATGGTTGAATGAAATCATCTTTGTTTTATATACATATATATGTATGTATGTATGTATTTACAATTCTGCTGGACTATTTCAATATGAAATTTCAGCCAGAAATTAAAAATAACTAAAGGCTGTGGTGCCATCTTATGGACATGTTGAGTACTGCAAGGATGTTTCCCACCCGCTGAGAATTTTGCTTGAGCTGCTGAGCTCCCTCTCTCCTCCTCCTCCTCCCCCTCTCCCTCCTTCTCCCCCCTCCCCCTCTCCCTCCTCCCCTTCTTCCCCTCCCCCTCTCCCTCCTCCCTCCTCCCCTCCCCCTCTCCCTCCTCCCCTTCTTCCCCTCCCCCTCTCTCCCCTCTCACAAGCTGGTTTCCTACCTCCTGGCAGTCTAGAGCAGCGCCGCTGTTTTAGCTTCAGAGCAGCACCCCCTAGGGGTGAACTGTGAAAATGGACTCCCAGAACTGTTGTGGTTGGGGAAAAGTATAGCTGGTGTTCTCTTCCTGAAGAACACCTCCTACCTCCAAGACTCAGGGATCATCACGGAGCAGGAAGTGGAAACATGGTAAGAGCCACAAGGTGTGGACATCTGCAGCAAATGTGTTGGAGTTGCTCTCCATGAACTCAAGATGGCTGCGGCTACACGCACCAGCGGTGCGGGCTAAACCTGGATCTGTGGTGCTACTTGAAGCCGGGACGCCACCTCACCCCTGCGGACAAAGTTTCTGTGCACTTCCTTGTACACAGTGGAAAGAACCCTGACACCTGTCTTTACCTGAGACAAATCATGCTTGTCATTCAAATGCAGTGCTTTGCTGGCCCTCAGTAGATGCCCGAAATCTCAGGAAATGCCAAACTCTAAGTATACTAGCTTTCCTCTGTCCGTTCATTCCTCTGATGGCTTAATTTATAAATAGGGCACAGTAAGAGACAAACAACAACTTCTAATAAAATAAAAGCAATTAGAACCACATATTATAAACAAAGATGTGTGAATATGTGCTTGCCTCATCACGTGGTGATGTCGCACGGGATGCCTACGGGCTGAAGTGAATGAGCAAGATCTGTGATGGAGTGTTGGGCTGCGTCAGAGCTCCTCGAGCACAAACCGTGATAGCAGAGCAATTGACGTGATAGCAGGGATGCTCTGAGTTACTAAGGAGCAGGTGTACGTATGCCCTGGGTACATTGGAGAAATGAACGAGTCCCATACCGAGTGGGGTAGAGCATGATAGTGAGAAATTTCATCATCTTCAGAGAGGCATGTATTTTAAAACTTAGGAAACTTTTTTTTAAATTTCTATGTCATATGTCCAAGCCATGCTGTTCAAGCCAGATAAAAGAAACTGCAAAGAGAAAACCCCTGATAGGTACAGGGCTTCCAGAGCTGCTCTTTGTTTGGAAACTTCCACATTGACTCTGGACCCTCCCAGTTTAAGTGGGACAGCAAGAGAGAAGGAGGGTCAAATTTTCCAGGTGTCGATTGAGAATGTGGGCAAAGAGGTATATGCCTGATAGTCCTCCGTGGTGGGCTCTGTCTAACTTGCAACAGTACAGCCATTGGCTGTGTGGTGAAGGCCCTCCATGGCTGCTGAGAGAAGAGGCGGCCTCCATCCATCCTGGAGGGCCCCATACATAGAGTGTGGGTGCTCATCCACATTGTCACCTTGGGTTCTTGTGAAATCAGGGCAGACAGATAGCAGCTGATGCTGTGGCATCTTCACAGACTTGCAGCTGGTTTACTGCTCATTTGTAGAAGCTAGCTGAGGCTGCCTGCTGGAGGTAAAGACACTGCAGGCTGCAGGTTGAACCTGGGGGAGCTGGCCACACCCCACATCGGACTTCCAGGCCAATGCTTGTTTGGAGGGTCGGATGAATTCTCGCTGTCTCAGCTTAGAGCCCTGCATAAGGACTAAATGGACAGAAGCAAGACCATGACTCAGAGGTGAGGAATGAGAGAAAATGTCCAAGTTCCAAGCTTGGGTGCCAGGAACATTCTGGCCCCCTAACTCCAAATGTGCTCAGGGCATAAAAGGGCTCTTCAGGCCTGTTTAGAGGTCTGCCATTGCCCGGTTCACCATATTCAGGACTACCTAGGGCCAGGCAGCTGAAAGGGAGCCCACTTCTGGCTGGTTGGGGTTGGTGCCCGGGGTTTTTCCCGCCTTCCTTATGTGCCTGGGGAATTTTAAGGCACAGGGAGCCTGTTCTCTGGGCCTGCAGTCTACCAGGGATTCCTTGTGCTATAGAAAGGATTGTTATAATAAATAATAAAATATAATAAAATAGTTGCTTTATAAAGTAATGAAAATTATATTGTGTGGAGCAAACAGGCTTTTCCTACCTCTGAATTCCTTTATAACAACTGAGTTAAGAAATGAACATACATGTTTATGCACACATGTACATGATGTAGTAGAACCTCATGTATGTGCATGGTCTGCCCTCCAACTTGTGAAAATCCACTATTCACCAGGTACTCAAGGCATTCCACAGACCTGCAAAGTGGAGTTCTGTAGATTCACCTTTTCTATACATATACATTTCAGTCTGCGTGTTTCTATACATGGAAACCATACAGTGCTTGTGCATCTATCTATATGTACATAGTTGTCTGAGGACTGTGTTTGGGGGGAAATATATGTGCTGTGTTTTGTAGGAAGTTTCAGAAAAAGTTAACTTGGCATGTCATCTTAACCCTAACATTTCATTTTAGGTCCTAAAACTATGTCTTTAATTGTTAATATTGCCTCCTTCCCCTTCCACTAAAGACAGGCAAATGAACATACTTCCATCAAAGATAGCCCCCCCTCTAAATCTCAGGCATCATCTTCCCCAAATCCTATCCACTGAGAAAAATTAAAGGCTTAGTGAAAGCTGAGAATACAAACTATGCCTAATGAGGCTGTGAGTCATTCACTTAATTTATATGCAACAGTTGGAGCTATTATTAACAAAATATTTATTTAAAAGAGAATTAGACTGTAATAAAGAAATAAAAACCAGAGTTTCATTGTATGTCAGTGAGGGCTTCTAATTCCTTTTTTTTTTTTTTTTCTGAAAGAAGCTGTCTCCATGGCAGCCATATTTTTCTTACTGTGTGGTTTGGGGTTTTATTTTGTTTTCAACCTGGCAGCTGCTGGGATGATGACAGGCTAGGACCATCTTTAGCATCATCAGAGGTTAGTATCATCATAGGTAATTTAACTTAGCTCAACTCTTGTCTGTTTTGCCTAAATTAGCAGAGTCTCCGTGGAGGAGATGGTATGCCTACTGTGAAGCCAATATTAACTTGATTTTTTTTTCAATTTATGACTGCCCAGGCCTTTTCTATTCAATGAAGGCAAGCTAGGATGGAGGGCCTCA